TCCCAGGGAACCAGGGATCCATTCCCTGCCAATCACTGGGGAAGGGATGGAACAAAGGGGAGATGGGAGCATGTGCAGTGAAGTCAGGTGATGTAGGGCGGTGCTTGCCTGTCAGTCTAGTCTGGGAGAAAGACCATTGGCTAGAACGCTAGACCCTCATGTAAGCCTAAGAAATCTTGAAAGGACAAACCCCCTAGAGAAGAGTTCTCTCTTCCTTGTCTCATGTTTGTTCTGTTCCCCTTACTCCCCTTTCTCTCTAGCTCTTTGATCCACATGCCCCCCTGCACTAGTCTGCCATGTGGCCATAAGCAATGGACTGCAGCTGGGAATACAAGCTAAGCTAGCCAGATGCTGGGTTGGACTGGACTGGACTTTAATATGGAATAGAAATTTGGGGCCGTGGCCTAAATTCTTGCCCTGCTGAACTTCTTCTGTGACAAGATGGAAGAAGATAGTACCTTGGAGGGGAACCCAAATAATTTTACATCATCAATAAAGCTTTCCATGAAACCCCATCCTCCTTTTCCCTGCAGCACCCAAAAACTCTACTTCCATTGATAACAAAAACAGATCACATTACATTAAAGCTATAAATATAAAGAATTTAAAAGAGCCGAAACTGATTGGCTCTGGATAGAGCATCAGCCTGTGGACTGAAGGGTCTCAGGTTCGATTCTGGTCAAGGGCATATTCCCAATAGGGGGCGTGAAGGGGGCAGCTGAAATATGTTTCTCTCCGATGTTTCTGGTTCTCTTTTCTCTCTCCCGTCCTCTCTGTAAAAAAATCAATAAAAGAGCCGAAACCAGTTTGGCTCAGCGGTAGAGCATCGGTCTACGGACTGAAAGGTCCCAGGTTCGATTCCGGCCAAGGGCATGTACGTTGGTTGCAGGCACATCCTCAGTGGGGGGTGTGCAGGAGGCAGCTGGTCTCTCTCATTGACGTTTCTAGCTCTCTATCTCTCTCCCTTCCTCTCTTTAAAAAATCAATAAAATATATTTTTTAAAAGAAATAGATTTTAAAAAATAATATATATATATATATTTTTTTAAAAAGAATTTACAAGAAAAGAACAAACTTCTTTTTTAACATTAGGATAATAAACAGTATCTTTAATAGAATGAAAAAAGCATGAACAACAACAAAAATCTAAATAAATAAATTGGACTTTAACAAAATTAAAACTTAACAAAAATTTGTGCTCATAAAGAAAGTATCATTAATAAAATTTAAGAAGCCATAGACTGGGAGAAATATCTGTAATGCATATGTTCAAGAAAGTCCTATCTAGAATATATATAAAAAAATAACTCCTACAAATAAACAAAAACAAGCAAACAATTCAATAAAATAATGGGCAAAGATTTGAACGGACACTTCACAGACACAAAGAAATAGATAAATGACTTATAAGAACATTTTGAAGTGCTCAATATTCTTGGTTATTAGGAAAATGAAAAATAAAACCATAAAGAGATATCCTTTTATACCCACTACAAAGGTTAGAATCTAAAAGACTGTACCAAAAGTTTACAAGAATGTGGAACAATCTCATACATTGCTCCTTAAAGTGCTAAACAGTGTACATATAACCACTTTATGACCTGAAATTATATTGTTAGGTATTCATCAAGGAGAAATGAAAATATATCCACAAAAAGACTTACCCAAGACAACTCATAGCAGTTTTACTTATAAAACCCCAAGTCTAGAAATATAATATAAGTGTTCCTCACCAGGAGAATAATCAAATTTTGATATATTCATCCACTTAATACTCTAGGAATATGAACAAATTACTGCGATACATGACATGGATGAATCACACAGACATCATGTCATCTGAAAGACCCTAGCCACTCAAGAGTGCATGTGTATAATTTTTATATGAAGTCAAACAATAGGCAGAAGTCCTCTATAGCAATGGAAATTACCCCAGTCTGTCTGTGGCCCAGGAATTGGGTGAGAAAGGGCACAGGGAACTTTCTGAAGTGATGTAAATGTTCTGCATCTGGTTTTGCATGGGAGTTATGCATGGTCAAAAATTATTAAACTAAGCACTTAAAATTTATCCAGTTCACTATATGTGAATTATATGTAAAAAAAAAAATAGAAAGGGATGGACTGCATATATATCTGGTGTGGGAGCCTATAAAGCATCACTTTATTTTCTTCAAACATAATAAATATAGAACATTTCCAAAACAAGTCATGACTTTTCCTGATATTTCTTTCACTGCATCACTCCTTACTGTATTTTCATAGCCATGGAGAAAATTCAGTCAACAACTAACCAGACAATAAAAGCAAAGATGTTCGCTGAAATATTGTCCTTTTAAAATATATCATTTTCCACATGGCTTATTCAATCTCTAAGCAGAGGACTGCAGCCACGTGCCTTTTGTGGTGAGCTCAGCACTTGTAAATGAGATTTGGCATAATGAAAATAAAACAACTCAGGTAAATAAATAGCACATTTTTTAAACTTTGCATTAAGAAAAATATGAATCGAGCCCCCTACTGGGAATAAGCCGGCAACCCAGGCATGTGTCCTGACCCAGAATCAAACTGTGACCTCCTGGTTCATAGGTCGAAGCGCAACCACTGAGCCATGCAGGCCGGGCTATTACTACACTTTTAAGTAAAAATTGCACTTCATTTTTTTTTTTTTCTGAATTCTTGCCATTCCTGACTCTGTGCTCTCTTTGAGATAGGTTATTTTGAATTATAAAACTTAAAAACCTTAACATTTTCCAAAGGTAAGTCTTGGTTCTTTCTTAGAGGCTAAATAAACCACAGGACACAGGCATGAACTTATTAGTGAAGAATTCTCTGTGCTTTTGAGGCTTATGTTAATTCTTGTCTTTACTGGCTCATAATAAACACTTTCATTATTCAGAATAATTTAGCGTGTGGAAGTAAACAGCATGCCCGCCATGAGATAGGAGCCTTTAATGCTTCTTATCAATTGTTTGCTTACCTGCTAATTTGCAAAATTTCAGTAATTCGCAGAGGATCTTTTTATCAGTGCTGGGAATTCATACCGTTATACTGAACCCACTAATTTGCCTTTCCTTTTACCAGGATTTATCATTAGATTGTGTAATTGCATTATTGAGATTAGCAGCTCCAGGAGAACAGGCCACTATATTTGAAATGAAACAATTACAATACCACAATACTGCTTAAGAAAAAAAAAAAAAGAAAAAAAACAATTTTACACTGAAATTTTTTTGCCAGTAATAGTGTAGATGGGAGTTTTAAAAAATAAGGATGGTACCCAGTGAGGATAAGGCCAATTAACTGCATGCTGTCTTTAATGAAATGTAATGATTTCATCTCAGTTCTTTCATAAAGCTGCATTTTCTTCCCTCCTAGCTATCATTTGATTAATCTTGAAATGAAAAACCACCAGTATGCCTGCATATAATGCAAAAGAAGGCATGTATGGCTCTTTAAAGTAGAAGTGTGAACTCTGCTTTGTTTTCTTATCTGTGGTTCCTGATACTGAAGGCTCCAGCAGGGCTTGGAGGCCAACTAGGAAGAGATGCTCAATAAATGTCCATTAACCACATAGATGTGGATTTAGTACTAATGGACCACCAGTATTAGACTAACAATTTGCATCAACAAACTCTTCTTCATCATGGGCATTGCTCATTTTAAATAACTGATGCTATTATACAGTTTATACCACTTTTTAATTCGCACAGTATTCAAACATATTGATTTATGTAATCCTGGTGCCATCTGCAATTGGTAATATTTCCCCACTGACTTACAGATGAGTAAATAACTTCTAAAACCTCAAGACTCCCTCCTTGACTGTAGGTCTCTCCCTTTATTTCATCCAGTCATGGCCTGACAGCTGGGTTTCCAATTAAAATGATAAGGCCTCTTGGATTTGAGAGGGAGTAGCGGGTAAGCATAGAGATGACACATGACTGGTTCACAGCAGCAAATTGTTAAGGCCCGGGGATGCGTGCACAAAGCACTGTCTTTACTCCATAAATGTATCAAGTTTTCCACAATAGAGTTTTTTAAAAAGCTGAGGAATAAAATTAAATAAAGTAAATGGTCTTTCCCAAGGTGTTTTGCTAAAGATAAGGGAATTTCTGCTATGAGATTTTAAACTAACTTCACCTATCAGCTACATGAATCTCATATAAACCGACTTGTTTATATTACATTGGAAATTGGCCAAGTAGCTTTGCAGTGCAGAACTCAACAGAAGGCCCCAGATACTTAAGATCTATAGAAATGGCTAAATCCCTTGCATTCTAGTTTATTGGAAATACTAGCTCTGAATGCAATATGGCATCTTTGTGTTTCTCATTGTTGTGTAGTTTTTACGAAGTCAGATAGCAAGACAATAAGTGGTCACTCTCATTCCCTGAGTGTTCTGCAAGAGCTGTAACGCCAAGCTATATGCTCCTAAACATAAACCCAGGCCTTGGAGAATTGCCATGAATTGCTCTGTGAGAGTACAGCTGGGATCAGCATCTAAGACAATGAAGATGAGTTTCTCCCAAAGAAAACTATTTTGAATCTTTAACTCCTGGATTCCAAGTATAATATGTCAAGGGAAACACACCTAACAGTAGAGTGGGCTTTCTTTCTAAGAAGAGAGCATGCTGACAGCTCTGTATTTTTTTTTTGGAGGGGGGGGAGGAATAGAACAAAAATAAAAATAAAAATAAAAAACCTCATAGACAGGGACAACAGTGTGGAGGATTACTGGAGTGAGGGGTGGAGGATGGTATAGGGGGATAAATGATGATGAAAGGAGACTTGACTTGGGTGGGGAACACATAATACAGTGTACAGATGATGTGTTGTAGAACTGTGCACCTGAAACCTGTATAATATTATTAACTACTCTCACCCCAATAAAGTCAATAAAAAGAAAAAAAAAATAAAGGAGTTATTCCTTAAGAGAGCGTGAACAACCTTAGAGCACCTACTAGAGTGCATCGTAAAGACACTGAAGGGTTCGCACTTACATGAGACAGTGGAGCCAGCTCATGGTGACACGTGACGGTGTTCCGGTTGGCTTCCATAAAATACCTCTGTGTGCGCTTCCGTTCCCGTTCCAGTTTCTTCTCCAAGGCCAGCTGGGATGTAGACAAGCTATCTAAATACTTCATCATGACATCCGATATCAGGGAGCTGACTTCCACAATGTCTGGGCGGGCTTCTGCGTCAGGAGTGAGGCATCTGAGAGGAGATTTGTTCATTACTGCAGTCCGATCAACATCAGCACCAGCCAGGGGGCTTGGAAGGTGAAGGCTAAATTCCACTCTGTGCCTACCACGGTGTTTGCGCCCAAGAGAACCTAAGGGTGGGCTGGACATCAAACATGGTTTTGAATCCAAGACTTTTCCAAAGGCATTTGAAAAGTTTGGAAAGGGGAGGGAGATAGCACTGTTCTCTTTACAGCTGGACACGCAGGTAAGGGCTACAGGCTGCTCCTTGGTCTCAGGACAGGCGAATGGGGTCATCCTTCCCTGTGTGAACTGGTTATTTTCCAAAATTGCCACCAACTCACTGGTCAGTGAAACAAAGATGGAAACCAATGATAGAGTCCCTGATGCATCAAAGGAAGAAAAGTTGGGGGGGAGGAGGAGGTCACGAGTTGACCTTTTCCAGCTGTACAGTGGCAAATATTAACAAACCTAATTAGTGAATGTCTTTCAAAACATGAGGTCATAGAAATAACATACACCCCAGTTACTTAAGAGGTTTAGAGTATTTGTAATAAATTTTTTAAAGTAGCTAATTTGACACATTACTTACTAATATTTTCTATGATGTTGGAGGTATGAAATATCTATGAGCCTACTAAAGGGAGTATTGTTCATGTCACAGCTAAACAGTAGATGCCCAGGGAACAAGTTGTCATTGGCTAGCATCCTTAAATGCTTCTAAAACTCACTACAATATTTTCTCTATTAAAAAAAAATATATATATTCGTATTAATTTCAGAGAGGAAGAGAGGAGAGATAGAAACATCAATGATGAGAATTACTGATCAGCTGCCCTTTGCATGCCCCCTACTGGGAACTGAGCCCTATATGTGCCCTAACCAGGTATGTGCCCTGACCAGGAATCAAACCATATCTTCCTGGTTCATAGGTCAATGTTCAACCACTAAGCCACATCAGCCAAGCAATATTTTCTCTATTTTTAAATTTGAATTTACCAACTTCACCAAAGTTATCTGTGCTTTTCAGCGAAATTTAAATTGTTTGGACTTTGAGAAAAAGATCTAATTTTCACATCTTGTATTCTATTTAGCAACCCATAGTTAATACAAGTTGTGCCTATACTGATATCTCCAGGCAAGACTGAAGAATTATTACACACAATTATTCTTCCAAATAAGATTCTAATATGTTAATTATTCTTTCTTATTGAGTTTATTAACCATAAGCAAACTACACATATCTTAATCAGAGTTTAAGACATTCCATTTCATGCTTTATCTTTATGCTATTTCTTTTTAAGCTCTGAGGCAGTTGGCTTCTGCGATGGTTATGATCAACACTTAATACATCTTCTGAATTCATATTTAGCAAACTTCAGTCTATGAACTTTATTATATACAAAGTAAGGCGAGAGATTGTGGAGACAGGGCCAGCTACATAATTTGTGTTGTTCCCAGTACAAAAAGAAACTACGGGCCCCAGGAGGGAGTGGGAAATCAATTTCCCCTTTCCACAGTCCCGTATCCTGATAGAAGAAGGGAGACCCCAAAAATTGCAACCTGTGTGCCAGCAGGATACAAAAGGTACCTGGATTGGAGGTGGGCAAGAGACTCACCACTGAATCACCCTCTAAACACACCATGTACTTCCAGCCTGGTCAGGGATGACCTCTTCTTGGCCCTGACCCAACACACAGCAGGACACATGCTCCATCCTGACCCCTCCTTACTTACCTTCAGCAATATCCCATGGGGAGAAGGGCAAAGATGGAACACAGGCCGCCCCTGCTGACACACCCAACTGCCACAGTAGGTAGGGGGCAGCAGCAGCAATGATGGGACAGAAACAGGGAGAAGGAGCTGGAGGCCAGGTAAAGGGCCAGGGGACTGGAGCAGAGGGCTGAGAATCTATGCCAGGGAGGCAGGGAGCATGAGCTGAGGCCCCAAACCCTCAACACACATGCTCCTTATCCCATATATCCCAATATTTCACTTCCAACAGACCAATTCCAAGATGCAATAGTTAACCTTGGATGCAGACCCTTACCCCGAGGACTGATCTGAGTGTAGAGGCCCCATGCATTGGTTGTAAGCACAGAAAGCCAGCTTTGTGTGGCAGAGACATACTTGTGTTCAAGTTTCTGACTTTTGTTCCTAAGCACAAAAGAAGCTAAGTGTTGAAGTTCATCTTCTAACTAGATGTGCTTTTCCCTCCACCCTCACTTAATTAGCAAAAGGGATTAAAGCTCATAAACAATGTTTGGTTGACCTAGTGTTGCTTATGACTGCTATGTGAGGGGGGAAAAACAAAGGCTCCCAGCAACCGAGCCTGTCATCAGTGCAGATATTCTAAATTCTTCATCTGCAGATTTTTAAACTAATTCAATGTAATATGGCAGTTTAATTATCAGCTGTTTTTTAATTGAAAAAACAACATAAACTAATTTTACAAATTATATAGTTCTATAGTATGGTAAATGGGAACCAGCATGGCCTCTGTTCTGGCATTCTTCCATCCCCTTCTCTCCCAGATTACTCCCCATCCTGAAATGCCATCCAGGAGGTGCAGTTTAGCATCATAATGAGGCCTGAAGGCTCTGAGCCACATCACTGGGGTTTAAATCCTGGCTTGTCCTTCATTACCTCTGATGTTGGGCAACCCTTCACTTCTAAGCCTCAGACAGCCCATCTGTAAAATGGTATCGTCATAAGATCAGGCTGGCATGGTAATGGAATGAAGCCGTCCCTGTAAAGTGCTGACACGTTATAAAAGCCCAATAAATGGAAAAGAAAATCCACAACCTTATTTCTCTCCAATCCCCTCCCACATTCAACCAACACTATATCCTGTGGCTTCTGCCTTTTCATTAATTTCTGACTCTGTATTCTTCCCCTCTAATCCCATGGCCATTGGCTTAATTCATCAACACTTGCTTGGACTGCTGAAATCATCTTCTAAGTGCTCATCTCTTGCCCACTTCTGCTCCATATGATAAAATGCTACAGAATAATATTCCAAAACGGATGACGTCGCTCCTCTGGTCAGAACTGCTCAATAGCCTCTCAGTGGCCCAAATGGACAAAATTAAAATTATTAGCATGCCATGCAAGCCCCTCCTGAACTGTCCCTTTCCTCTCTCCACCACCTCACCTCCTCTTCTCCCTTTGCCTCAGCAACACAACAAATGCTCCTCCCTGTACTTGCCCAAATAGCCTATGGCTTTCCTATACTCCCATTTCTTTGCTCATTTTATTCCTTCTGCTAGAATCTGTTTTTTGCTGATGATATCTGCCCTTTTCTAAACCATATCCAATAACTGCTTACCAAAATCCCACTCCTTTGCAAGTCTCTATCAGTAAGATTTTTCAGAACCACCTCGGGTAGATTCACTGTCCCCTTCTGGTGTGTCCCCACTGCACTATCTATATTTAAGTACTTATAACAACTATAATTATTGCATTGTAATGGTCTGCTTCACCACTAGAAACTGGAAATTTTTTGAGAGGGGGGACATGTGTCCCCTTCACCATGATCTCCCTCCAGAGTGTAAAATGGAGTCTGGATCCTAAGAGGAACTCAGCAAGTGAGTAAACAAACTAAATAAAGCTTATCCTAACATTTAAAAAGTTACCTGTCCACAACCCAAACTATTTGGCCACAGACTGAGACTTCCAGGTATATCTCCCACCAGAAGTTCTAGTCTAGCTCCATTTATTTGAAATGTCTCCCTGAGTAGATAGTTCACAGAAATTCTTAAGAGCAACCCAATGCTTCAATGATCTCGAATCGAATAAGCATGGAATCATGTTCTAGAAAAAAATCTTGGGTGTTCCAGTCAGCCTGACCACCTTGTCCCCATCTGCACTGAAACCAGATGGAAAGAATTAGAAGGCTACAATGTTGAGTTGTATTCATTTCATGTTTAAAGAAGCAAAGAGTTGAAGGTGGGGTGGAAAATGTAACGATCAATTTGTCCCCAGAAGAGTTGAAAGCATTAACTCTGTTAGTCTCCCAATTGCTTGGGAAACAAAGGGCCAGCCTGCTTATGTAACCAGGCAGAGACAGCAAAAAATAAGGCAATCAGAATATTTTGTGCATAATCAGAAATGTTCTTCCTTTTTCAAAAGTAAACAGACAATACTCCCTTGACAGTCTACTGCAAGGTAAAAGTAGTAACACTGATACTGTGCAGAGCAATGAAATGTATTTATTTTTTGCCTCAAACTCTTCAGGGTTGCTAAGATATTCTATGGGAGCATAGGAAAGCCATGGGCTATTTGGGAAGTAATCTAAAAGCTTATTAATAAAAAAATAAAAAAATAAAAAGGTTCCAATGCCCACTATCTACTACCTCAATCAACAGGAAAACAAGCTGTATGAGCTCTAGCTGACAAGATGCAAAAAGTAAAAATGAGAAGATGGTACACCAAAGAAAAAGATGAGATCAGAAACAACACCTGGTTGAAAATTAAGAATGAGCCTAGTGAATTTTCCCATCAATGGTTGTCTTGTATTTCAAAGCTCTATAACAGTACTAGTGACTGTCTCTGAGCCTGGTTTGCTGAGTCATAAAAGATCATTAAGAACACTTCTGCTTTGATGTTCCCTGAGAAAAACAGGAAATTGAATTTGTTCCCTAATTCTTCGGGAAGTAAATTTTTAAAGACTAAAAGTCCAATGCAAATTAAATATGTGACTGTAAGCAACCCATGACTGATTTTGGGGTGTGTGTGTGTGTGTGTGTGTGTGTGTGTCAGATTTTCTAAAGATAAAACTTTATTTATGATGTGAACCCAGATAATGAGTCTTGAATAACTTTAAATGAAAACAACATCTGTTACAGAATGCATGCTGCAATCTTAATTTACAGTCAGTTATAAAACTAATTGTCTGTTCTTCTTATGGCATCTTATTATTTTGAATAAAAATTATCCTCAAAAACATTTAGGAATTTGAATTCAGTTAATTCCAGAACCTACTGGAGCCTCTTAATAGTGATCGTTCATTCTCTAAAACATTCGGGTGACACTACCCACCCAGCAGCCTGCTCCACGGTGTGTACTTCTTCTGATTCTGACACATACTTCCTAATAGTGAGCTGACCTTGGCTTCCTGGGACTCTTGACTCCGTGATCATGGCTTCATTTTCTTAAGTTCCATAGAATAAATCCAATTGCTTTCATTTTTTCAATGGCACCACATTGTACCAGTTAACTAAAGGATCTTTAATCCTCTTATGATTGTACCCCAAACTTGTTGACTCAATTTCCAGCCTACAGAGGAAACAACCCCACTTCTCTCCATTAACACCAACCCACTCCAGTCAAAGCCACTATCAGCTCTCAACGGGCAGCTGGGTCTTCCTCTCCCTCCCACACTCTTTTCCTCCAGTCTGTCCCCTAAGATCTGTGCTAAAGAGGAAATGTTCACTATGCCAAGCCTCTTAATTGCCCTTTAGTCCTATCCTCAGTGCTTGAGGTAAAAATTCCAAACTCTCCCTGTGGCCTATAGGACCTGGTCAATCTGGTCCCTCCCTAGCTCTTAATCATGTGCTCCTTATTCTCTCCTGTACTGAACATGCTCCATCACCAATTTCCTTCAGTTCCTCAAACTAACAAGCTCTTTCCCCTAGGAAAGCCTTCACAGATGCCTGTCGATAAAATGCTTTCTCTACTCTGTTTATTATTTGAGAATTATTTGGGTCCAGATTACATATCCCTTCTCCCTCAAATCTCCAGACTAGGCCAAATTCTTCTGTAATCTCTTACTGCCCCTTTACTAGTCTGCGTCACATTTATCACAATTTGTTTTATATACTTAATTCCACACATAATTTTATTACTAATAGCAATACCTAGTTTAATTGAGTGCTCACTAAATGCTGGGTACTGTGCTAAAAGCATCAGAAGCATCATCTTATTCAGGCTTTGGAGCAAGCCCATGAGTGGTTGCCATTGCTACCCACGCAGCACAGGTGGGAAAAATGGGGTTGGGAATGTTCAGATGAGTGGAAGAGGAGGAATTTGAATTCAGTTAATTCCAGAACCTACTGATGCTCTTAACCTTTTCCTGACAATGCTGATATATGACTCTGCCACCGCCACTTATCCCCAAGAGGCATGGGTACGAATAGCCGGGGAGCCTGTCAGAAGCAAGTTATGGTTCTGTTTGTCTGGTGCCACAAAATCAGACTAATGTCTCTGTCCTTTTTCTCTGCACTGCCCCTCCCCGGCTCCTTGTGGCAATCAAATACCTATGAGAAGAAGAACTCAAATGAGTACGTCTGGTACTCCTGTCTTGACGATTCCAGAGACTTGGATTTTTAAAGCACTGTGCAAAAAAAAAACAAAAAAAAAACAGAAAGCAGAGGACGGGGACAACCTGTGAAGATGAACAGTTTAAATACATTTGTCTGGATTCATTAGCGCAAGGCACGATCCAAGACATGCAGAATTCAGATGATTTAGGAAGGGGTTTCAGCTCATTTCCTGTAGCATTAACAATATATTCCCTGGGTGATCATCACACCAGCCTGATGAAATTGGTGCTACTAGGACCCCCATTTTACTGAATGAGGAAGCAGAAATGCAGAACGAGTGGTCCAAGTTCAGGGTCTGTAGTTAGTGACGTTCAGCCTGAGCTGGGCCTGGGGCTCCTAGTATACGGCAGGACAGCCCTGTGCTGAGCAAGGAGAGACTCCAGATATAATCCTGCAACCAAGTGAGGAGTGCCTATTACTGCCGAACAATGGGGTGGGAGGGGAGGCCAGAGGGGAAGGGGCACAGCCACGGTAGTATGTCTATGACATCCCTCCAGAGATGCTGCTCAGTGCTGGGACAGACACAGAACCGAGCTGGGCGGGCATCGGGCAGGGGCACAGAGAAAGATTCTATCTGAGGTGACTCTAGGGTTTCCATCATAATAATGAGAATTTGACTCAGCTCAATGGGGCAGAGAAGTAATCTTGGGCCAACTTAAGTACTTAAAATGGTCCAGAAATAACAATCAGCCAGATAAATGGGAGTCATTTATTCGTACAACCAGTATTTAATTTGTTAAGGGTCTGTCTACATTGTGCCAGTCATTGCTTTGGGCACAGAACAGCTGTGAGGTGAACTGAAGAAGACCCTGCTCTTGTGGAGTCTAGTGAGGACAGAGAGACAATAAAGAGACAAGCCCGCATACACAGGCACAACATGTTAGGGTGATGGATGCTGTGAGCTGTAGAAAGCAGGCAAGGGCACGAGAGGGTACAGAAAGGCTATGGGGATGGCTTCCTGACACAGGACATCTCAGCAGAAGCCCGAGGAAGTGAAGGCCTGTGCCATGCATGCTACAGAGAAGAGAGTTCCAGAAAGGGGGAATAGCAAGGTCAAAGGTCCAAAGGGAGAGAAAAGAGGGAAAGTGGGAGGGGAGAGGGATGGGGTCAGCTGGGACAAGCCCTGTAAGGCCAGAACTTTGCAAAGGGATAATGCCTTTCATTAAACTCCTATTATATTGCTAGCAAAAAAAAATTCTTCCCAACTTTCTTTGAAAATGCATTAGACAATACAGCATTACTGATTTAAAAACAGAAATAAAAAATGCTTATAATTTTATCTAACATGACCTTTTTCCATTTCATATATTCCTGTCCAGTGTTTTTCCACATATTTTTAAGCTTTTTGTCACAGTTATAAACAACTTTGCATCCTGCTGTGCTTAGGTTCATACTGCGTCTTACAAGTGGAAACAAGCATTCAGAGTCATCATTCTAGTGGCTGCATAATATTTCAAGTGAATGTACTACTTCCTCTTGGACATCTCATGGCTTCCAAGTAGTCACTGTTATTGATGATGCAAAATAATTTTCCAGGTTTAGATTATTCGGGAGCCCTCCCTCCGCATGAATGTTTACAAAGGAAATCCTTGTAATTGTGAGGTATTTCTTGAGGATCCCTATACGTTCAAAGTTGGGAGCCTAATTACCTGCTGATGGTATCTGTCACTTTTTCAGAGTAGATGCCTTCTGGCACTGGCTCATACACGGCCTCCACGATCTGCAAGACAAACAGAGTGGAGAGATGGGAATGGAGGGACATTAATATTTTTGAGTGGTAAAGCTTGGCCACCACCCGAAAGGTACCCAGTAAGCATTGTAACTTTGTGCACAAATTCTAATCAGGAGCAAAAGCATTCCAACAAATACAAAATTGGCATCCGTTAAATAGTTCTTTAGCTTGGAATTGTGTTCTTCAAGCTGAGCTAAAGTTAACCTTAGATCCATATGAATGATGTGGAGGATAATAAAATATGTTATGTTATGTTGGATCGTGAGTGTTCCAAACTGCAATTAAGAATAATAGACCAGCCGAAACTGGCTTGGCTCAGTGGATAGAGCGTCGGCCTGTGGACTGAAAGGTCCTGGGTTCGATTCCAGTCAAGGACATGTAGCTTGGTTGCGGGCATATCCCCAGTGGGGGTGTGCAAGAGGCAGCTGGTCGATGACTCTCTCTCATCGATGTTTCTAACTCTCTATCCCTCTTCCTCTCTGTAAAAAATCAATAAAAATATATTTAAAAGAAAAAGAAGAAGAAGAAGAAGAAGAAGAAGAAGAAGAAGAAGAAGAAGAGGAATAGACCAAATTGCAAAGGGAAGGTGGGGGGTGAGTGGGTGGGTGGGTGTAATCAGCCTAAGAATTTGTATATATACATATGTGCATAACCCATGGACATAGACAATAGGGTGGTGAAGGCCTGGGGGGGGGGGGCAAGGAGGCTTCAGTGTGGCCATCTGGGGTGCGGAGAAGAAGGGCAGGGGAGGGGCTAGAAGGGGTCAATGGGGGAGAAAATGGGACATATGTAATACTTTCAACAATAAAGATCTAAATTTAAAAAAAAAAAGAATAAGAGACCAAAAAGTAACTTGATATATTTGTTTTATAATTTTCTATAATAAATAAAGGCAATTACAGGGGGAAATGTGCCATAGCACATGATGTAGATTTAGAAGAAAGGAGGACAACTAAACTGGAGCATGTGGTTAATAAAACTATGCCTGCTGCCTGGCCGGTGTGGCTCAGTGGTGTAGCTCCTCAATGTTTCTATCTCTCTTTCCTTCTCCCTTCCCTTCTCTTTAAAAATCAATAAAAACGTATTTTGGGTGAAAAATCAATACCTTCTATTATTTGACAGTTTTACTAACATCACAAATTCTATTTAAGCAGAAAAGGAGTGGCATTATCAGCAACAGGCTGCCCTGTTGCCTCCCTCGCCCACTTACTTTTGTAGCCAGGGAGAGCATGTTGGAGCTGTAGAAGGGGGGGTTCAGTGTGGCCATCTGGTACAGGATGCAGCCTGCAGCCCAGACATCAGCCTTCTCACCATATGGCTCACTCTTCAGCACCTCAGGGCTGAATGAAAAGGAGGATGTTAACAGACACTGAAACGCAGAGAGGTCAGTTCAGAAAGAAGTCCAATTTTTAAGCTACAGTTGGAGACACAAGGGGGAAAATCTGAAACCGTTGATCACTATTTCAAGTACACACATGGAAAGGTATCTTTGAATTCGCCCAGACTTGGATGATCGACAAGCACAAGCAAGCGATTCCATTCAAGCACTAGACTTCAGTGGACCATGAACGTTGCCTACCGAGTGTCCAGGGAAGTTATTTCCTGAAACAACCACGTCTCTGCGGTGGATGGAATCACTGGCCCCAGTTCTTTTCTATTGGGGAAGTTTAGAAAAGTTCACCCTGGCCTCTTAGCAGGCAGTCTTTGTTACCCACTCCTGCCTCTGGTTGTGATTGTGCTGCCTGGCTCTGGCCAATGCCATGCGGAAGAGACAGTGCACCAGATCAGGTCTCAGTCCAAACAGGTTCAAGGGCTTCCATTTGTCCCTCTAGGAGCTTCTAAAAGAGTATATCCCAGGTAGCTGCTGCCTCTTCAGGCGGAGCCTGTAATAAGACACGTGCAGCAGACCTGACCCAGACACCCACAAACCTGCAGCCGGAAGCAGAACCACCAGCCCAGGAGACCCAGACCTGTGAGTCTGACAGTAAATGTTTGTTGTCGAATGCCATTAAAATGTTGTGGTGGTTTCTAACACAGCATTTTTATGGAAAAAAAAACTAACTGATACAGCACTTTCCTTTGCTATTCAACTGTATAATGTATAAAATAGGTGGAAAACTACCTTTAAATATATTGCAGGGAATGATAATACCCATCATGTCAGTTTCTCTGAAATTGTATTTATAATCTGGACAAGGAGGCTGTCAGCCTTTAAATGAAGTTATGCTGTGATGGACACGTTGACATGTCTGCCTCTCTCTCTCTCTCTCTCTCTCTCTCTCTCTCTCTCTCTCTCTCTTACTCTCTCTCTCTCTCTCTCTTTTAATATGGAGGGGAATGTTGTCCCCTTAGATATTTTGGACTAATAGAAGTTTCCTTCATCGTATTTGTAGAATAAAACTCAGCAAAGTGTCAAATCCACACCCCCCAAATAGTTTGATAATTCAGTCCTATAGCATATACTTAAGGCTGTGCTAGGCCCTCTAAATTAATGGAGTGGGGATTAATGGTTAACTTGGACAGTGAGTTAAGGTTTAAAGAAATTGATAAATCAATGTCAGAACAGAGTAGGTTTAATTCAGTACTGACCGCTAAGAATAACCAAGAAGCCGAAACCAGTTTAGCTCAATGGATAGTGTCGGCTTGGGGACTGAAGGGTCCCAGGTTCGATTCCAGTCAAGGGCATGTACCTTGGTTGCAGGCATATCCCCAGTAGGGGGTGTGCAGGAGGCAGCTGATCGATGACTCTCTCTCATCGATGTTTCTAACTCTCTATCTCTCTCCCTTCCTCTCTGTACAAAATCAATAAAATATATTTAAAAAAGAATAACCAAGAAGTCACCTCTTCCTGTGCTGTTCTGGGGAATTCCTGCTGTAAGATGCCCATTATGTATCTGCAGAGGTATGTCCCTGGGTTAAGCATTGTCCTATCTGGTGCTTTTGAATTCAATCACATGGCAATAGGGGAATCTGGGGTGATTTTCAGGACTCTGCTGGTCCCAAGTGACTAAAAAGGTGTCCCTTGTTACTACCTGATCAACTGCTCACATTTAAAAAGAAATGCCTTATAAGAAATAATGTCCTCAAGAGGATGATGCCCTTGGCTCCCCACAGACTAATTTCTCATGTTTTTATCTATTGAGAACACAAGAGATGTGCTTCCTGTTTTCAAGAACTCATGAAGCAGATGCTCTGTGCCCCACCAGGGGCCCAGGGCCCTTCTCCGTTCACTATCCACAGCAGCGGCTGGACTTCTCTAGAGACAGTTCATTTCTCCTCGAAAGATAATTCCCAATGAGGGGAGAAAACACTTGTAAGAATAGAAGGTGTTCCATTTACTTTACTCACCATCACATCTCCTCCTCCTTCTCACTGGAGACCACAAACTCCTCCCATTCCCACAGGCATGCCCCCTTTTCCACAGGTTTTGGGGTCTCCCCATCTAGAAGGGAAGCTTGCTTCTCCACCCCTCAAATCTTGGCTGGACCATATGATTTGTTTTGGCTAAAAAGGCGTCAGTAAAAGTGATGCTAAGAAATACTTGGAAAACACCCTCTATGGAACTCACTCTCTCTTTCTGCCCTTGAAAACCCTATGGATGCAAGCCATTGACAATCATGTGAGCAGTCCCTGCTGGGACCAGCCTAATTTGCCAGCATGCAGTGTATTGGGGGACAGGGGAGGTTATATTAAACCTATGAGTTTTGAGATAGTTTGACAAAGTGAACTGATCTAACAGCTTTCATCAGATTCTCAATGCTGTCCAGAGGTCCCTCAAAAAGATCGAGAATCACTTCTCTGGAAGAGAATAAGAAAAGAAACAGAGACAAACAACACAGTTGCTAACAATCACTTTGCTTCTGGGATCCAACTTCAATTAATCTCCACGCTAAGAGTTTCATAATTACAACTAAAAGTAATGACAAACTGGAATTAGAATCTGATATTTAGAAGACACAACAAAATGTTCGGTTATACAGTCTGAAGTTGACCCCCAAATTGTATATGCTGCAGTGCCAACTCCCAGTGGCTCAGAATGTAACTGTGATTAGAGAACCAGTATATATAGGAGGACTGAATTAAGAAGATGCCATTAGGATGGGTCCTGATCCAATGTAACTAGGGTCCTAAGAAGAAGAAGAGACACCTGGAGTGTGTGCACACAGAACCACCATGTGAAGAGGCAGCTGGAAGGTGGCAACCTGCAAGCCAAGGAGAGAGGCCTCAGAGAAAAGCAAATCTACCAACATCTTAATCTTCAGAACTGCAAGCAAATACATTTCTGTTCTTTAAGTCACCCTGTCTGTGGTGTTTTGTTACAGACCCTAGCAAACTAATACAGGTTTCCTGAGAAAACCAATAAATTTAAAAATTTCCTCAGCAACTGTTAGAAAATACTAATAAAAGGATTTTGAGGAGAGTGGGACATAGTAAATACTAAATGTTTGGAGTCAAGTTTCTCTTATTGAAACAACTCACCCCACAATATTTGCTTCACTGAGCCAAGATAGAAAAGGGATTTTTGCATCTCCCGGCAATGTATTAATCTCAGTCTATTAACAAGTACATTTAGTTCTCTGGTTTTGGCAATCAAACATTCATCTCCCTAGACAGCCTTCACAACAGAGGAGAGAGAGAACTAACTTATCATTGTTAACTGAAAGAGAAACAAAACCGTAAAATTCCAAAAGAATGTAAACCATCTGCCTAAGAACACAAGATCTGCTATTTGCTCAGTCAAGAAGGCAAAAATATATATGAATTCACGAGGATAAACATCTGAAGTGACATAATTAAGATTATAGGCCAATAACTACAGTTTATTTAGACTGAAAAGTAAATTATGTCGTATCTCGGAATGATTCCATGAAGAGCATTTAGCAATATAAGATGGCCAAAACACACATGCATGGTGTGTGTGCGCATATGCGTGCATGTGTGTGTGCCTGTCAGTGCATGTTTAAGGCTGCTCAGGGTGGGTAAAATGATTCTGAGAAATGGCTCAGACAGCAATCACTATGGTTGGATGAAAGGCAAAGAGAATCGAAGGGGGTGTGGGAAGTTGGGAAGACTCAGAGGAAATAAGTGCCTGGGTGCATTTTCTGGGAAGGAGTGAGCAATATGATATTCAGATACTTGGTGAGATATACAGAGCTTAGCAAAAAAGACTCTAGGCAGAATGACGCATGTAGTTGCAAGATCCAACCATGTTCTGATCTTTTTCTATGAGGCCCTATTATTGAAAGTACCTAAAGGCACTGATGGAATATGTCTAGTCCCACTGGAGCCTTAGAATTTAGAGGGCATTCTGATCAGCCCAGTGGTGCTCTCCACTATGGAGGGGGAGGAGGGGGACTGAGCTGGAGGAGGGACAGAAAGAATGAGTCTCCATTAAAGTGGTGGCCAAGGAAATGGGAGAAGAGAAAATCCCCAGGACATGGGGAGGAGGATAAGGGAAGGGGAAGACCCTCTCATCTTTCAGGCTCCCGAGTTTCCAACTTGGGTGATGGGGTGATGAACACACACTACAATATGCAGTGTGTACTCATAGGGGAACTAGTAGGAGCTAGGTCTATTTGGAGTACACTGATTCATGCCTGAGAGAGCCACAGTTAGGGATATCAAATGGGTAACACCATTCTGGAAGCTGTTAGACTCATAAAGCCCTATCCTGACAGGCTCTGTAGCCAGGGCCACTGAAATATTCCCAACCCACAGATGCCTGGTGCCATTAAGCAGACAGTTAGAGAGATTTGATATCTAAATAAATTTAAGTTTGTTCTAAACACAAAGTTCTTACAGAGACAAAAGAGAATTAGATAACATGTTCCAGAGCCAGCGACTTGCCACTGAAGGCAATAGGCCACAGCTTTATACTGATTTTAGAGTCTGCCTGAACCTATGTTGTATCTAGGGTTGGTGGCCTTAGCCAGCAAAAATCCAGATCACCAGCTAAATTTCAATTACTAAAAATTTGCAACATCTGGGGTGTGTTTATACTAAAAAATAAAATATTCAGACACAAACTGAAAAAACTCAGTTGTTTATTTAAAAGTCCAATTTCATTGAGAATCTTGTCTTTTATTCCTGTGGCGATATTCTCTGTGTACTCTCCTTTGTTTGTGCTCAACTCATCCTTCTTACAGAAAGGCACATGAAAAGCTGCTTAAGCATTAATGTGTCTTTCTGCACTTACTTTTGAAAAAATGAGATAGCCGCATATTTATATTTCTCTAAAAGCATCACATTTCTCTCATCTTGCATAAAGACATGTATTGATGTGTTGTGACACCAATGAAATCAATGATTAGAAAGTTATTTTAAATATAAGCACTTAAAT